GTGATATAAAGCCTCCAAGGAATACACTGAATTTGGGACTCCATCAAGCATCCTGCTGACGGACGATCTTGTCAATCTGCAGCTGCAATCCATCAATGTAAATGCAGCGTGTTTCGTTTTATTCTGGAGGGAATAAGCTTCCTTTTTCAATTGTTCATTTCAGTCAATGACTTTGATATAGCAGTGAGCCTTCCAGATAAATTCTGTTTGAAATAACGCGCTCAGCAGGAAGCTTTTACAATTCATGTCTCTTCTAACAGGCCGGAAAAAAAGATTTCTTTTGCTCGTATCGCATGGTGACTGTCACATCTTGTTCTTTCTGAATTAACACTCACTTATCCCTGTTTTAACGGTGGTTAAAAAAAGGATAATGCAAAGTTAAAGGAGTCTTCACCTGCTGCAGAAAGTCCACAAGTTCATACCCTACATCATCCGCTGTGTCGATCATCTGCCATGTGTCTTTGTGATGTTTTGCTCCAGCAAGAATCCAACTCGCTCGCTTTAATCTGCTCATGGATGATACATGAAAGACGGAGAAAGAGCTCTGTTGTTCACATAAAATGGAAATGTGATACGGAAAAAAAGGAGTCTCTGCTCTCTCCTTTCTTTTTCCTGTTTGCCGAGTGTTGTTTCATTTGTGGAAATGCTTTTACTGAGAAAATATCCCTTGTAATTTCTTCTTGGTTAGGTTTTGTTGTCATTCAGTTTTCACCTTCAGTAGTCCTTTTGTCATTTTGGCGTTTTTGGTCCATTACTTTTGAAGTGTGTTGTTTTCTAAGCCCCCTTGCCTTTTATTATTTTCCGTCTCTGTTAATGCTACCTTTGAAATTATTTTCGCTGTTTTGTTCCCCACGCTTTGTCATGTTTATTTGCTGAAATAAAGCCTACCTCGCAAAGGCTATTTCCAGGAACACTCAGGTTTTACAAGCTGAAAAAAAAACAAAAAAACCCTCCTGCCATGATGCGAGCCCGCGGTCTCTGACTCTGACTGCGGCTGCCATAAAGCACAATGTAACCACACAGAAGAGACACGCAGGAGAAGACATGTCGTCATGATCAGTCAGAGTTGGAGGAGACATGCAGGAGGGAAACTGATGTCGGCACATACAAGCCTGTCAAGGCAGTGGAGTCTGCAGTCAGATCTCTGAAGCTATCTGGGGACTTTATTCGACCCAGACTGGGAAAAGACAACCAGCATTTTTCCTCCACACTGAGTGGAATCTGTGTTCTTTTTCTGTGCCTGCAGAGCAACAGTTCATCATCTTTTTACTTGTTCTCTTTACATGTGAGCAGCAGTTTTTTTTTTTCACGAATCCACAAGGATTCATCACATATTTATATAAATTGAAGAACGCCAGCAGCTATTCTTATGAAAACACTTCCTGTGCTAACGCACTCTTTACCCCCTCAGGTAAAAACAAGCCACGCAACAAGTGTCCTTTTTAACACTGATCGCTTTTTGTTCTATTCTGTATGCATGCGTAAACAGTGTTAATTCATATGGAGCTTTTTTTGCATAAAAGACAAACACATGCAGAACCACGTGTAGTATGCAAAGACACATCCTGTTACCTGATATAAGATGAGGTCTACATCAAAAGGAATTCTGAATCACAATATCTGCAAATTAGATTTGTTGGTGCGAAGAAAAAAATGATAATTTTTATGCCAGATGGCGCCCCGTCTGCGGAGTCTGCGCTTCTCAAGTCGTGTTTCATTAAATTATCTCAAATCTGATATCCTCTGGTTCTACAACTTCCCTCAGTGTTGCTACTCAAAAGGTAACCCTGAAGTTTTAAAAGGTGGAATGAGTAAGACTTTTGATGATCAATAAAAAAAATCAACATATGCTCTACAGGAGGTTAACAGATCTAATGATCACTGTCAGAGCTAATATCTCAGACCTTGACAAAAATTGAGCAGCGTGGTTCACAGAATCAGATTTCTGAGATTTTCAGAGGGCGAAAAAAAACCATCTCCCCTCCTCTCTTGTATTTTTAAGAATGTAGAATCATTTCTCTGTCAGACATTTTTTTTAAGTCAGCACTTCTTTTTTTACACAATCTTCGGCGGCTTATCCATGGTTTGAGGGCCATAATAGGAAAAACGCAGATCGGGGCAAAGAGGAAGAGACACAGCTGTTCATCTCCCGAGCCAATTCGTCAGCTGCACGTGCTGAACGGCATTTGATATTGGAGAGCAGCGAGTAGGAATAATCACACATCCTTCTGTGAAATGGAGTGTTTGAAAAAAAAAAGAAAAAAAAAAACTCAAACATTCACAGGGGTGCTGAGGTCAGTGAAGGGGAGGGCTTTAATGTGAAAAGGCGGGGGTGTGGGAGGGAAATAAAAGATTAACTCCATCGTATAATCAATCACTCGTGTTCCCTCCCATTAATCAGCTCTTCTCCACTCCTCAAGTGCCTCATTTTTCCCCCCCTTTCCAAATCCATTTCGCTTCAGCCCTGCTGTGCATGAGCTACGCTGCATTTTTTGGTCCTCCCAGATCAAGCCTTTTCATTATATTTCACGATCTGCTGTATTTCATCACATCTCATAAAAGTGAAAGAAAAAAAACGAAGAAAAGCCAGACGTATAATGAATTGTTTTCTTCCTGCGGCTGCCAGATCCGATCAGCTGCAATAACGGGGATTTTAAATCAAAGTCGTCCCACAGAATATGGATGTAAAAACTTGGCAATGGTCAAAGTCGGTTAGCTCAGATACCTCTCAGCGGGTGCAGCGGCTACACCTGAGCTGAAGCTGACTTTGAACTGAACCTCATCTTTTTGCCAAAGTTGCTATTTATAAATCACATTTGCATGAAGGTCCAGTAGCACCCTCATCCTATGCATAATGCATAATGAAAAGCTTCCCTCATTCGCACCTATAATAGCGCCCAACAGCAGCAGAAAGGAAGCCTCAATGCACGCTCTGGAGGGAGAGAAAGTCATCGCTTTCACCCAGAAAAATCCCAGAGCTCGACTATGAATAAAACAATGTGGAGCTTAATTTTGATTAACTTTTTAACCCAACTCATCAATAATTACATCTAAAAAAATCTCATGCTTTCAGAGGCTCTCACAGGACCCAAATCTTTCATTCCTCGCAGGAAAAACCGGACTAGACCTGGGAAAAACCAGCTCTGAGCTGTTTGTGGCAGATTTCATCTCACTGTTAGTGCGAGGAAAAGTGCCTATGGCAGGGCGTGTGATCAATATTATCAAGGTGTATCTTCCAATGGAATCAATCACATCTGACAGTTTTCCAATGGAGGAGCACGGATGAGATGTGCCCGTCTCCTGTGAGGAAATGATGGGAATCACAGCAGTCACTAATGTGGCTCTGTCGTTGGCTTTCCAGGTCACAGGCTGGGATTTTTAACCACATGTTAGCGTCGTATCCAAGTCTGTGGTTTGAAATGAACTGCCGAAGAGGAGTGAGCTACTTTAACTTGTTTGGCTCGCTCCACTTCTACTTTGTTTTGTTCTTTTAGACTAAACAGTAATGATGTTTTCATGAATTTCACTCCAGACTAAACTACGCAATGCAGTTTTATGTAACTCTACCCTCAGGCTGAAGAATATTTTATATTTCCCATGTTAACAGAGGATTTATCTGTTGCGGTTTTAATAGTTAACTTATGCCCTGAAAAAGGCACTGAAGCGTTTTGACTGTTGCTTCTAATAAGCCCCAAATTTCCTCCCTTTTCTGAACACAAAAAAAGTCGCTCTTGCAGGCGTCTGATGAAACAACAGGATCTCTAATTTGGCATTTAATGTGCCAGCAGGTGGCAAATGAGTCTCAAAGCCCGGGATGGCGGCTTCACCAGCATGGCCACCCACTCTAAAGGACCGGCCATCTTTGTTGTAGGCAGCCAGAGGCCCCGCCATTGACCTGTGCTGTGTGTGGGGCGGCCAAGATTAACTGGCTCTTGATGGGAGCTTTGTTTGATGACAGCAGCACCGCTAAATGGGTGCGTCTCCAAATTGCGTCTTAACTACCTCTTTTATCATCACTCAACCATCCTTATCCCCCACTTTTCGCTTCCTGCAGGGTTCTGTGGTGATGAGAAAATAGCCCGGCCAACTGGGAGACAAGTCTGAATGTTGCTCTGCTGTCTGTCTGTCTGTCTCTGTGTGTGTATGTATGTGTGTGCTTGTTTAGTGTTTCTGTGTGTGTGCGTGTTTGGATGCAGGAAGGTGTGTATTTGTGTAGACCAGCTTCTGTTCATTGGCTCTTGGGGAACTGCAGGAGACATAGGTTGTCTCCGTGGACACTGATTGGCTCAGCGGGGGACGATGAGCTTGAGGTAGATGAGGTGGAAATGAACCAAACCTGACCTGCGGTGCGAGTACACACAGTCTCTCTCTCTCTCTCTCTCTCTCTCTCTCTCACATGCACACACCACTTCTTTTTTTCTTTACCACTGACACGAGCACCGACATGTGAACACTTGTATAGATAAAAGCCACTCTGATGCGCTTTGATACAACATTTCATTTACACATAAATTAAGTGCACACACACAGACCCTCCACTTCTATACGTAGATGTATCCGACAGCTTGACGACACCATATGACGGCTCAGCGCTCTGTTGTTTGTATTCCCTCTGGTCTTGCTCCGCGTCCGCATGTGCGTGTGTGATGTTCTTATAGTCTCCGCTTCATTTTCCACGGCCCACCATGTACATGCACAGCAGGTTCACCCTTTTGTGTGTTTTCTGCATTTCCACTGTTTCATGCATGTATGTCTGAGAGACGTTTTATCTTTTTCAGCACCCATTTTTTCTGCATCTGTATTTGGCTCCGGATCCTAATGCGCTTTGATGTTTATGAATGCGTGAGTATGGATTATGTGAATTATAATTTGCACCTATGTTTGGTGCTGTTAAATGCATTTCCCTCCTTTGTGTGTGTTTTCCATGCTTTTCTCAACCTCTCACAGGCCTACCATGGCTATGACTGATTATTTTTAGCATTTCTTGGTCTTCCGAATACTGGGACGCCATGTACATACCGCTTACATCACCAAGACTAAATTGCTGCCTGCAAAAAATACATCTGGGTACTTCGCCAGTGCTATTCTGGAGTACCTGAACAAACACAACTGCACGGTATGTAATGAAACACATACATTGCTTTGACAGTGTGGTTATGGTGCATTACATTTAGAGATTATTCTCGCCTTCTCCATAATGCCTTGTGACAAATGAAATGCTGGTGTACGAGTTTAATACTGTTAAACCTAGCCTGCGGTTTACTTTACGACTTTACACAATTGTTGATCAGAATTTAACAAAGTGTGAAAGTTTGAGGATTGTTTTTGCAATATTTTCCTTCTGGTTGTTTCAATGGCAGAGTGTGTGATTGAGAAAATCATTGGTGCTTTTATACAGGCTGCAGGAACTTTCTCCGAGGTATTGTAAGGACTTGCAGGATATCACTTCATTGCAAATGAAAGGAACAGTGTCCAAAAGGGCCTTTGGTATCGTTTCCTCAAAACAGGTTTCTATTCTTGGTGTGGCACTCTCTTAAAATTAAAAAACGGAAGTGTAGTTCATCATGGAGACGTTCACATTCGAGAGGAATCAGAGAGGTGCTGGTGCTTCTAGCAGATGTAACAAGATAAAGTGGTTCTGATAAGGGCAGCTCTGTTAAATATTTGAAGTAGTTTTTTTCTGTGTTTGAGTTAAAGGTTCAAATTTTTAGCTCAATTTTCTCCCAACAATTGTTTTTAGATTTTTTTCCACAAGTTTGAAAAGGTAAAACTTACTGAAATTGGATTTTCTTGGTTTTTAAACCAAATATCTGTCTGCGATTCTACAACAGAGTTTGATAATCCGTCTAGTTTTGGAAATGTCAGTGTTTAGAGAGTTAAAACAAAATGAAGGTGAACTTGTTCATTTATTTGGACCCTGAACTTAGTTAATAAAATCAGTTCATTTTGATCTGAGTGAGCTGAACTTTGAGCCAGCTCGTTTCAAAAGCTACTGTGAGAAACTGTTTTTCTTTTTTTCAATATTATTTTTACTCGTTTTCAACCTAAAATTTGAAAGTAGCTTTTCTGATACTGAATCACATCTTTCTGTCCTTCAACATTCACACACATCACTCACTAAATCTTTAGAAGGACAATTCGTGTGCAGCCTTCGGGTGACCTCTTTGGCTGACACCTACCCCACAAAGCAGTGATTACAAGACTAGATACAACAACTTCGAAATAACTGATCTCAATGCTGTTGCTTTTGTGTCACACGAAGACACCAGTGGTATTTACTCTAGTCTATTTCATAACTCCTCAAGAAGTTTTCAGTGTCAACTTGCACTCCTTAGAGATGGTCCCAGAACTAAAGTTGAATTCTTCTGGTGGATGTGTCTCTATTGAGGTCTGGGTATTGTTGTCACACACTTCTATCCATGAAAAGACAGACAGGAGAATTATTGCATTTTTCTACAATTTCAGCAGTAGTTTGAGCAATTTTGGCATTTTTTTTTTCTCCATCATATTTCAGATCCTCACTTATTTTTTGTAACAGAGCTGACAAAACTGACTGTGTGTGCGTAGTTGTGTGTTTATCACTTCAAGAGTAAATTACATTTCAGACTGAAGCTTTCCATGCAGATGAAGTAAAACAACCTTTCCATTTAGGTTTCTTTTAGTTTTATTAAAAAAACAACAACAACAGTGAAAAATCAATCCCTCTGCTCTTTTTCTAACTTGGCTTGTCTGCGTATCTGCACTGCATATCAAGTCTGCCAGCTTAGAGCAAACCTGCTGGGCAGAAGTACCAGTTTGAATCATGGTATCATCATCCCTCAGTATTAACATGTTCCCTTGGCTGTGTTTGTAACAGGTGTGACAGTAACCGATAATTCATGCTGACCCCTGCATGGCACAGCCAGCTGAATCAGGTCTCTCTCTCTCTCTCTCTTTGCTACCACAGTGTAGTGTCTGTTATTACAGTCACCCTGCAATCCAGCAACATCAATTATGCCAATAAGACGCCTCCTCTGCCAACATTTCACATACATTATGGAGTGTTGACACATCACTTTTCACCCTATTGTGGATGAGGCGTGAGGTGAGCGTCTCACCACACACAGAGAAAATAAGGATGTAAAATAAACCACATGCAGAGCAAAAAGAGAGCTCAGGGATCAGTTGCTGATAATGACACTTTGGTCTGCTTATTTTCTTTCTTCTGTATTGTGCTAACATGTTTTTAGTACAAGGTCATTTAAAGAAGAGAACCTGTTAGTGAAGCAGAGAGCTGCAAACAGTCTCAGGCCCCTGTCACCCATGAGCTCCTCACAGTTTCCAAACAGTTTATACACAATCAGGTCCAGAAGTTTTTTGGAAACTGTTTCTCGTATATGTACCTCGATTAAAGACATTATCTGTTCCCCACTATTTGGCAATACACGTCAATTAAGAGTATAAAGTGGAGCAACTCCGCTTAATTTGATGTGGTGAATTTTCCAGACTATTACCAGCAGTTCCAAGACATTAGCTCACCCTGACTTAGGGTGAACTTTGTACAAGGATGCTGGCAGGAAAGAGCCAGCCTGAAGTGGAGGTGAGCAGATGGGTCCATTTACAGTCACATATTCAGCCAATACTGAGGCATTTTCGGGGTGTTATACATGTGTGCAAGGGGCTTAAAAACTGCTAAATCTTCAATATGGGACGAACCCCCGAGGTCCTATCTCACTTTGAACAATCAAATTACCACATCAACCCAAGTTTCCTTGAAATACATCTCAAAAAGTGGGATCATCTTGTATTAAGGGTTTTAATTGTCAATTATCATTACAACAGACGGTGCCACTTATCCCCTCATGAGTAGAGCCGGCTCTCACTCACTGCTACGATGCCAGAGGGATGAAAGATGGTGAACAAAGGTGATCTAAAAGAAGGAAAAGTTCACCAAAAACTGAGACGGAGTTGTTTTTTTCTTTTTTAGGAACATGGATATCAGAGCTGCAGAGACATAAACAACCATCAAAAGGCCAAGAAGCATGATGTCACAGGGTGTAATGTTCGAAGACGGTGAACCATGAAGATCATCTTGAAATGTGCATTTGAATATGTTCCTGAAGAGCAGAATCAAGGGTACGCACATTAGCTGATTTGTCTTTAATCCAATAGACTGCAGGTTACATGAATTTTAATGGCTTTTTAAAGATAAGACCATAAAGGAATAAGTCTCTTTGGTAAATGGTAGACAGACTTGTATGGCGCCTATATCATCTTTCTGACCACTTAAAGTGCTTTAAAACCAACTTTTTATATTCACTCCACATTAATGCACTGATGGAAGATGATGCTATTGTAGGAGAACATCAGTAGTGACTTATTTCGCTCATTAAGGGGAATTCCTGCACATGAAGACACACTGACTATTTTACTAAGAGCAATTTGGAGTTAAGTATCTTGACTAAAAGTGGGAGCTCAGACCACGAACCCTTCAGCTGAGAGACGACTAACTATGATTTCTACAAAACTGTTATCATTGGGATCGTCTTATACTCAAACCAATCAAGTATTTAGGGCAAGTTCCCATTGTCACTCTTTCCCCTTTGTCTCACTCCTTTGTCAACCCCTTCCCCTTGGCCCCGGTGGAAACACACCCCTTAAAAAACGAGACGCTACTTGATTCCCGCTACGTCATCACGCCTTCCCGCTTGCTAGCTGTGTTGCAGGCTGATGCGAAAACAACGCCTACTGTTGTGACGTTTAGCCGTTGTTAGCTGTTGTTAGCAATAGCATTTGAAAACAACGCATAACACTGTATTTTACTCATACAAGAGCATACGTAGAAGCTCCTGATGTAGCTAATCATTCTAGCAGAAAGCCGAACATTGTCTGTTTGCTGTGAATTTGTCACCAGTCGGACATAAGTGCAGCTATCATTAGCTATAGCTTAGCTAGCTCATAATAGCCAGCGATTTTAAAACACAAACAACTCAAAATATAGCTAATATTTACATGGAGAAGAAAAGGATTAAATATCTGATAAAAAGCAGAAGTGTCATTACTATGAAAAATCATATCAAAATCATACCCATTGCTTTCAAGTGAGGTCCTGGTTTGTCTTCATTTCAAGGGCTTACAGAGAATTGGGACACCCCATTGCTTAACATGAACGTGCAAAACTGAGGGCTTGGGGTAAGACAAGGGCTCAGGGTTACAATTGGGATTAATTAGCAAAAAGCTCTGTCAACATTTCTTCCTAAAGGTATTATTTTTCTCCACCCAACTGTGCTCGCTACATAAATGAAAGCTCCAAACTAAAGGGTGCGAAGTGATTTGAGGCCGTTCAAAGGCTCATTGCCACCGTGTTCATTCATTAAGGCTCCGACTAATAATGTTCTCACAATCAATAGGTTACTTTCTCAGTTCAAGTCCAACACATTTGACCTTAAAAAATGTTAAAAATACATCTGAATGAACAGAAACCACCTCTGAACAGTTCACTTCAAGCACTCAACACTGCAGCCTGGAGACATGGAGTCAAACATTCTGTTTCTGAAACAGGCAAGTACACATGTGAGAGGCAGATTTCTCCATATTTCTGCATCAAAGAAAATAAAACAACGTTGGTCAATTATTAAAATTGCTCATTTATATTCTCTCATTAAAACAACGCCTCAGTTGATTCATTATTTTAGCTCAAGTATTCAAAGTTTGAACTTTCATTTTGCAAAACATGTTTTATTTACTGTTTGGCCTTTGGGTAACTTTAAATTGCTCTAATATTTCACTTAACAAACAAGTATCGTATAGGTCACTGATGCAGCTAAAATGGGGGGTACGTACTGTATGAGAAAAGAAAGTCTGGTTTTCAGCGCTCTGTTCCTGATCTAAGTTTGAAATTCTGCTCCGTGGCTGCTTTTCAAAGAAGCCATACAGGCTTACTGATTACTTTCTGCTCCAGTCTATGACTATGAAATGGGTAAAACTGTAAAAATCGGCCAATAGAAGAAAGATTATCTGGAGGAGAGCTGACCCCATGACTGGAGAAGATAAACCGCCCCTGCCCTCTGCCACTATCAATCCCTGTGACCAGCAGCCCTTCACTGCCTCTCTCATCATCCTTCTTAAACCACAGATCACACTGAAGCAGAGAGAAGAAGAGGAGCGATAAAGTGAATGGAGGTGAAGGTGAAGAGTCAGGTGAGGTGAAAAATTAGAGGGTGAAGTGAAAGAAAAGGTCAAGGCAGTAGAGATAAATAAACAAGGGTGGCATGAAAGATGGGGGACGAAACCGAAAAGGGAGACAAGATTTGGATCCTGGGGTGTAAGGACCAGGAAGTGGATGAAAAAGTGGGGTAATACCAGAGCATGGAGGAAGGGTTGAAAAATGACTAGTGGGGAGAATGATGCGTGTCCTGCAGGCGTAGAAAAAAGCAGAGAAGAGAGACGCCGTCAGGCACTGAAGGAGAGAGCAATTAGATTTATCTGCTCATTAACAGAAGGGATAATTGACTACAAGAGTGTGCGGCGATACACTGGGAGACGGGGGGAGAGGAGAAAATGAGCCAGGAAGAGAAATGAGAGCAGGTGGAAGGAGAAAAGACAGGAGGCAGGCAGGGAGGGATTGGAAAGAAAAGGGAACACGGCAGGGGATATAAACAGGGGAAAAGTTAAAAAATGAGAAGAATGGGGAGAAAAGAGGGAGAAAGATGGAGGGGGGTGGAAAATCAGCCCACAGAGAATGCTGAGAAAAAAGGGATTAGCACTGGGGAGAGAGGGAGAGAGGGAGAGAGGGAGGCAGGAGAAGTAAATGAGGATAGATGTACAGAGTGGTGTTTGTGCAGGAATGTGCATTCGTGTGTGTGTGTGTGCATGTTTCTCAGAATTCTGTTTTTGGGCATTACGACAAGTTCTTTCACACGCCCTCGCATGTGTCCGACGAAGAATGCATGACGTCACAGGATTCATCGAATAACAAATGAGACTGGTTTTACAGGACCAGTTAGAGGTTCTGTGGAACTGCAAGAGTTAAACACACACACACACAGAAACACACACAGACACACGCATGGGTATGAGCGCTGTAAATCAGCCACACTATTGTCCACCTGCTGTTACATTCCCATTTTCAACAACTTGCAATCAAATCCCGACACACAGCCCAGGAGCGCCTGCAGATTGGCATGTATGCCATTAGCCCTTTGTGTTTGCCAATCAGTCTATCACACCGGCATGTATTAGTGAGCAGAGTCACAACTGAGACTGATGATGAATAGCACCTTCATTACTCTGTCTGGAGGAACCTGAAATGTTTCTCTTCCACAATAAAGTGTTGACAGATAGAAGACAAATGTCTTTTATTTCTGTTTTCATCAACTGGCCGTGCTTTTTATTCGAGTAGCTCAATCATGCAACTTCATCTTTTGAAGAATACATCCATACTGTGCTATTCTCACCTGTTATTTTCTAATGTAGTAAAATGTTAGATCCTTTTAGGGCAGTGAGTTCATGAGGAGGTTAGACTGAAATAAAAACAGCAGCCTTTTAGTGCAAAAGTTATGATAGCATCGTACAACCAAGATATTATGTGACACCAGGGAAATTAAATCTTAGCGAGTATATTTGTCTCTTAAGCCCCAAAACGGTTTATTTACCAGACAAGTCTAAATATAATGTATACGAATTTTATTTCAAGATACTATGAGCCAAAAAAAAGAACTTTGTGTGTTGTAATCAGTAAAATTTAGCTTCTTAGATGGAGTCAAGTTGTGTATATGAGTTAAAAAAATCTCCTCCTGCAGGCTTTTACTGTCAAACATATAATTAAATGTAAATATTTAATGTGAAAACTGTTTCTTTAGCTGCACCGCTGACACTTATCCCCTAAAACAAGTTTCAGTGATTACAGATTACAACATCAAAATCATCAATCTCGTCCCTGATAATCTTGTTTTGTTAAGATAACATGAAAAGGCACCAATATGAATTTCAGATTATTTATAAACGTCAAAAACTACTCACTGGAGCTTTATAAAAATCGACTTAAAAATCCGCTTATTTTGCCATTTCAATCGTGATCATGGATTGAGTGGCTCCTAGTGTTCAAATAATATTTAAGTCAATGAACAGCTAACGAAAAAGCTTTCAGTGTTGTTTAAATACTTGAAAATTTTATAAGAAGTAAATCTTTCATTGTTTGAGTCACCTGATTCAACAAGATCATGGAGCACAAAGCTGCATTTTGGCTAATTCACACTTAAGATTCGCACTGAAAAGTGAGATACAAGATTGTTTTAAACCATTTTATAGTTAGCATGTAGAAACACATACTTAAGATACCTATATTTGCTATCAAAGCTAGGACTGAAATGCTAAATTATGGCTGATTGGAGTTAACAAATGTCATAATATGAGGGAATCAAACACAACAGCTGCTGACATTTTCCTATATATGCTCCTCATGCTGGGTGTAAACAGTCAGTTTTGTGTGTTTCACTCGAATATCAAACAGCTGTGTCGAAGTTAGAATGCTGCAACATGTTTTTTGAAGCTACGCTAGCAGTGTGACCCCTGGGATGGTGCTTTCAGGAATTCAGTCTGTCAATAACTGAGTCTGTCCACCACTGAGTCTGTCTCAGCTGAGATATCTCCACAACTATAAGATAACATGCCAATAAGATGCAGACAGAAAAAGTTTGAGCACAGAATGATAGCTATCTTATTAGCATGAAGGCTACACCTTGGATAATTCGACTGTTAACGCTAACTTGTAGCATACTGGTGTTTCCATTTGACCAAAGGGGCAGCGCTCTGCTAGCTAGCTGCAAGAATTACATGTCTAAGTTGCTAACAAATCACCACAAAGCTATCAGTCACAGAGTGGTCAGCAGAAGCAGATGTTGTTAGAGAATAAATGAACGACACTGACAGTGAACAGTTTTCAGATATGATCAATAGAATGGTTTCTTAATCATAATGATTGAATATGTACTTGATTAAAGATCATATTTCACAAAAAGCATACGCCTGAATGCAAATTACCTGACTATCTACATTATTGGTAGCAGACAGGGATAAATTGTGATGATTACTTTGGTCCATCTACATTTCCATCGATCAAATGATCTGTTTGTCTCCGCACTAAAACGCAGCTTCCAAAACCTGTAGCGAGGCTCAGCTGCTCGTGCACCACTTCAAACTGGAGGGATTTAGGATTTAACAGACAAAATCTTCAAACATTTGACTCCGTGAAGCAACTGCCTGTCTCTGAGCCAGCGGCGCGAGCGTTTCTGGGATTGCAAAACATGAGTCAACATATGACGTACCTTTAATGCAACATTACATCTTTGATCCCACAGAGCTGGACCCCAACACCGCAAAGGTAGAATCAGAGAGAGAGAGAGAGAGAGAGCGAAGACGGAAAAAACACTAAACAAGAGAGGATAGCCACCTTCTCTTATCAATGCTTTTTTAATCTCTGATAATGACTCAATGAACGTCGGAGTAAAGCAGCCATTGCCCTCCGTTGCATCATGGATACAGCGAAGATGAGAACAAAAATAAAACACAGGGGAAAGGGAAGGTGAGAGTGGGCGATGAAAACTCTTTGACTGTTCCCCACTCCTCATGTTGCACAGTTTAATTTTCGGTTTTGCCTCCCCCTGTTGTTTTTGCTCACCTTTCTCCCTTTCTTTTTTCTTCTCCTCATCCCTCAGGCGATAACAAGAATTGCCGTCTAGTTGAGCGCTTAGATCTTCATCCATTTTAAATGAGAAAATGCAACAGGGTTTGCATCAGTCTATTGTAGATAGAGCATGCTGTGTTGATGTACTTAACTCATGTAATTTACACAACAGGCGATCAAGTGCCAATTATTGATTTTTCAGAACAAGAACATCTCAAACTTTTCAAACTGAGTAGAAGTATTTCATATAATGAGGCAGCGTCTATGTTTTTGTTTTTCAAAGCCAGCCATTTACAGATATAATTGAAGTTTTGGTCTATTAAACCCTAAAAGTGTCTTTTAATTCAATGTCATTCACCACATTTTATATTCAAAAAGCACAGAGAGCAGCCCTGTCTCGACAGATAATCCATGACTGAACGAAAGGAAAGCGCTCATGCTTCACAGATGTGTATGAAATATGAAGTTTGAAACCGAAAGAAACTTCTCTGTTTCGCATAAACGGAAGTTTGATAAGAATTTAGAAAAAACTAAAAAGTCCCCTTCTCTCTCCTTTCTCTTTCTGTTCCTGCCTCCGATTCCACATTTACCCGCTCTCTCCAGCGCCGCTGCAGTTTGAGGACTTTACGAGACGTGTGATTGTGAAAGTGGAAGCGAGGTTTAGCTTCAACAGTTGGCCTACTCTCAGCCTATAAGACTGTGAAACTGCCTGACGACGCACCTCTCCATCCAAACATGGGGGCACAACACAGACGGGTATGCACAAACACACCCGTACACACGCCAGTATACCTCCATGCTTGACAGGAAGAGGAAATGGCTTTTCTCCATTTGGAGAGCCACAAACAAGAGGTGCTGCCGGCCCATTTCAGATAGCAGCCCTCTTAAAGAGCCCCTCTGTCTATGAATATGGAGATGAGGATTTAGGAGAGAGGGGGAGAGAGGAGGAAAGTGGGGGAGAACCGAGGGAGGTAGAGATCAGAGAGTGAAAAAGTGGGAGCAAGAGAGAGATTCTGTGTCTCTGAGGTGCTTTTCCTGCCTGCCCTGTGGCCCTTGGCAGGATTTACGCACTGGATTTAGAAAACGAGTGTGTATGTGTGTGTGTGTGTGTGTGTGTGTGTGTGTGTGTGTGTGTGTGTGTGTGTGTGTGTGTGTGTGTGTGTGTGTGTGTGTGTGTGTGTGTGTGTGCGGTGCAAATGAGTGCCTCTATGAGAAACACAGAGCCAGAGGCGACAGGTCAGAGATTAATCACACACAGACATCATGGGACACAAACACACCCACTTGAATCAGCACGCCTCTCATCATCTGCTTTCTCTTTCGTACCATCGCTCCTCTATCTCCTCCACGCTGCTTTTACACATCTGCACCCTTCATACTAACATACAGCGCGCATAAACAGCTGAGTGCGCAGAGTCACACTTCCCCACCTGGGTCCCTCTCATCCCTCTGTTCATCTGTCCCTCCATTTACTGCAGAGCCAGCATTGGTTGCACCTCAGATAAGCCTATACGGTTATCCTGCCCTGCCTGCGTTCATTTATATGCACCTCCCCAGCAAAACAAACAGTCATCCGTGTTCAGCAGATAGCATCTCAGTATCACCAACCAGCAGCCACTACATGCTGCATGAATTATGGATTGGTGTAAGTAGGTGGAAGAGGTCAGACAGGAGCGACAAAGGGCGATCCCACAGGCCCTGTTAGATGATGGATGACAGCGGGTGTTGCAGTTCGTTTTTGTCATTATCATTTTTTCCTCTGTGGTAATGATGGACAGGCTTTCTGTTGCTGTCGGCATGTGAAAGCAAACAACCTTCACATCTAGAGGGTGACCTTAGACCTTATCAAAATGAAATTACTGGAAGACACTTTGAGCTGCATCCTTGTGATCATCACAGTTGTCTACAACACCACTGTGACCATACTGAGGCTTTAGTTAGGAGTAAATATGAGCATGAAATTTCCTGTTTTTTCTCAACAGCTCATATTTGACTGTTTTTTGTTTGGCTTTACAAGATCTTACTGTTTTTACTGATGTCACTTTTGGTGTTGTAACATGAGTTGAGTGTGTGCAGCCCTCCTGTAAAGAAGTGCCATGACTCTAACGGCACTTTTCTCCATAATTATTCTCAAATGAATCACAGCAATGCTTTTTTTTTTTCAATCACTGTCATATAATGTGAAAAAACAACAGACTTAATGAAAAAAAAGTCACAACTTTGGTCCTGGTTTTCAGTATTCATGAGTAAACTTAGACTTGAGTATTGACCGCTCTAAATCGGACTCTAAATGCAGCATTGACTGCGCTCTGACTCGGAAGATGTAGGAGGAATCAAACTTATTTATTGACATAGACTGTTCAATTGTTTAGAGTGGGGTTTTTTTTTGTATATATATGGTCCCAATCATTCATTCAGTAAGGAACAAGTCATGCACATCCCTGCTTTATTTTAATCAGCAAAAGTTCCTATCATGATGCCATCAAAGAGACCATGAATTGTGAGTTTTGCGTAATATATTAAAGTCCCAATGAGGATAAAATGGTGCGGATGCTGAAATTTTACAAGAAATCTATCAAACGATTTAGCTGGTCTATAGTCCTTGTCTCGGTTTACAAGCACTGGCCAAGAATCCAATTATTGACAGAAGCATGTCTGCCTCCGCTGCAGATGATCGTCTCCTGGTTGACCGTTAACGTACCAAAAAAAATCAACTGTACATGTTAGCTGGTGGCTAACAGGATATACGTCGATTGGTGACTAATTGTTGGTGACTCAGACCTGATATGAGGACACTCAACAACCACGAGTGCTTCAAGTGTAAGAACACAAGAAATTTGCCTCCTTTGTTAAATCATAGGCCTGCCACTGTACAAGATCTATGCAATACAATTATATCAATGCAGACGTGTCTATACTCATATTCAAAATTAGGCATCACTGCAAATATTCTTCCAAGGAGCCGAGCAGATCCCTTCCTAATATGATTTCCATGAAAGTGATGAAAGTCGAAATTGCATTAAAAATTCAGCCAAAGCCATCCTTACACTGCAGCAGTCTGAGTTTGTGAGATCTTCCAAAGTTACAGTTCTTTCGAGTGTAAAACTCCCTCAGGGGGCACCCGGGGACCAGAGGGTTCAAGGCTTTGACCACAAATTCTCCCTCCCATGTCAAATCTTCAATGAAGGCTTAAAATAACTCTGGAAAAAATCCATCTTTGTGTCACTATCTCAACACTCCAGCTCACTGAGGAAGCTGCTGTCCGTGGGAACACAAAGAGGGAATTTGGTACTAAAAATGCTGCGACTTTGGGAAGATTATCGCTTGATTAGTTCATGCTTGAGACTCTGTAAGCCTTATATTGGATTCAGCTGAACTTTAGAATCCACTTTTGCACAGAGATAGGACTTTCAGGCTTTGTCTCTGTTCTTTTACATTGTTATTACAATGAGAAGGAATCCTTTTAGAGCCGGTACAAACAGCAGGAGTGATAACAGTAGGCAGTAACTCCTCCAGAGTGTACAGCTGGCAATACAGGCAAATTCTGTCATGGTCGTCCTTTAAAGTGCAACACACTTTTAAATTTTGACAAGTGATTTATTGATAATTTCATTTAAAATTAATCACCAAAAAGCTTCTCTCATCTAAGGATGATTTATTACCTTCAGGGTCAGAATTGAATATTATGTTTTGGCCAGCTCTTAATTATGCTGCTATTGGTTTAGACTGCCAGGGGTACTGGCACACTGGGCACCTTTCTCTCCTGCTTTATCCTCTATCTGTCTGTGTCATTAACTTTGAATCAATCATGTCCTATTAGAGTCACTAAACACACAATCTTTTCTGGGAGTCCCCATGCTCCACCATGCCGTAGGTTTCTCTGGATCGCTGCTGCAGATATTTTTGCTGCCATGCATCAATCTCACCTCTGTCTAGCTGGGCGATATGGCCTCAAATCAATATCACGATATATTGAGCAGATCACCTCGGTAACGATAAATGGACGATTACTACTCCACAAGCTGCTCCCCCCCTCCCAAATCAATTTCATCTACTTCAGCCGCTACAACTTTTGAACCGTCCTCCATCTCCTCACCTGTCTTTCCCTCTTTGTTATGAACTGGATGGGGTGGAGTCAAGTCTCTGATGTAGCACAGCGTCTTAAAGGGACATGAGACCATAGCCTACCAACACACATCCAAAGCCAACTTTTAGTTATTTACTTTTTTGACACCGAATATACTGACATGGGCAAAATGACGTTGGATATTGTCATAAATTTCGTTATCATTTAATATCCCTCTATCTAATGCAGTAGCAGCAGATGACTGTAAACCTTTAGCCTGGTTATGCTAAAAAGAAATCACAGGTTAGGGCTGTGTCCGAAATGAATCACTCAATCCCTAACCCCTAACCCCCATATGGGGTTTTACCATAAAGCTGACTATGAATTGAGCTCAATCACCGGAGGTTGTGGACACGACACGGCAATGTACATGGCAAGACGCAATGCATGACAAGATGTCCACCACTGGTGAGTGACCATCAGATGTCACTACATTACAGTCACTACATTTTGCAATGCTCTATGGGAAATTTTGAGTCACCTATATGGGGCATTGGAATTGATCACTCAGTTTTCGGGCACCTCTCAAAATGGCGCCAACCCCCCATATAGTCACCTATATAGGGGTTAGGGATCCATTTCGGACACGGCCAACCTGTTTTCAGTCATAATTTCTGGTTTTCGAAAATTAAAGGAGTGCATGGTTGCAGCAGTAGAAGTCCCACAGTCTTGTTTTTCTAACCAATATCACTCATGGAAAAAAAAATGACTCTGACTTCTGCTCAGTTTGTACTGAACCCAGAGAGCACTCTGACTTCTCAGACACCGATATTTGAAATAGCTGGAAGCATATTTTAAATTTAGCCGGAGATAATTAACAGAGTGGGCTGTACAGGTGCTTCCAATTCACTTCAACAATATGTCCCAGGTGGATAGGGAACTCTAAAGACATTACTGTGAGTGGATGACTGCACTGTACGCGATAACCTCTGTGATATGCCTCTCATCTCTCACCTAATGCATGCTGGGAAAGGTTCCAGCTCTCCTGTGACCCTGCACGGGATAAGCGGCTGTAGAAAAGGGGATGGATGGATAATTTGCAGAACTGACAGCGCTGGCAACCGTGACACTATCATCACATTTATCACCATCTCCATTACCGCAATCATAATTCTAACCGTCATAATTATAATCAGCATTACACGGGTATCTTCATCACCCAGCCCAGGAGGAAGGTATCTTATATTATTACCTTCACAATCATCATCTTCATCTCTGCACGAACCAACGTCATGGTAGTGACCGCCCGCAGCTTCATCATCCTCCTCCTCCTCCTCAGCGGCTTCACAGAGCTTGTCGGGTCTCA